TCCTCTTGAGTACCAAGTTTTCTGGTGTTTTGATTTGGTTGAACCTTTTGGCAAGCTTACGCTTAGTCCTTATGGCAGATTTCCATGCTGTAGTCATATAGGGAACATCTTTTGCCTTGACTTTCATTTTCTTCACAGGGAGATAATCCGACAAAATAGTTCTCAGAAGTTTTATCCAGTAATCACAACAGTCCTCAACACAGTGAAATATTTCTCCAACATGCCAGGGTGCTATATATACTAAGGGTCTCTTTCAGTTTATCTGTATCAAGGCTCTTAAAATCGGAAAAAGTAATCATTCTCCTTTGATGGTGCTTAATCCCTTCAGTCAGATTTCCATACACCATCAGATGGTCGCTAATGTCAGGATCATATACACCACATTCTTTAAAAAGATCAGCTCTGTTTGTCAGTATGACATTCAAAAGAGACTCTGTTGTATCGGTAATTCTAGTTGGCTTAGTAATGAGGCATTCTAGGCCATGAACATCTTCTAGGTCACACATTATTTTTCCCTCTTTTTTATCTGGTCTGAGTCTATTTAGGTTCAGATCTCCAGTGATTACTATGGATTACTTTTGCAGTGACAGCCAGGAAACAACCTCATTCAGCTCATCCTCCAGTGTAATATAGTAGTTAGTCTCTGAAGCCTTAGGTGGCCTATAAAGGCCGAGTACAGCTACTTCATGTTTTCCAAAGGTTGATTCAATGGTTAGTGCCTCAATTGTACAAATCACTTTTTTATTTTGGAATGTATGACAGCTGTTCAGAGCTCATGTTATTTATGGAAGCGCGTGATCCTATGTTTCTGCTCCCTGACAACTGAACTCTTATTTCAGTAGATTTTCGGGTTTATTATTGTCAGATCTGAAAATATTTCACCTATATTACCGTAATAATTTTTTATTGGTTCTCTCATTTGAGTTACCTCTGAATAGTCTAATTTCCTTCACCGTCTAACTCCCGGAAGTGATTAACACGTAAATTCTCCCTGCAATATTCGTACATTATTCAGCAAACAGGTGATGAGAATACTCGAACCTCTCCGGCAGAAGTTGTCATCTTGATCCAAAAAAAAATTCACTTAACTTATTTATGAAGAAAGACGTAGCAACAAGAGGGGAGAATTAAGAATCTGATCTTGGGAGCTAAAGCTTAAACTGTACGGGATCAGTATGTGGCAGAAGTGCGTCATAAGTGCGTGACAAAACCAGCGAATATTTCTCGAAAATGAAACGAAGTATGAAACAAAGCTTGAGGATAGAAAAGGTGAAAAAATAACAAAATGCTCACGCTTCAGTTCTTTGTCTATAAATCGCGGCAACAGGTTTGATTTCGTAACATTCGCGATCTATAGTACTAATGACGGTAATGTAGTTATTGACGAAAGTAATGGGCTCCTAACGAAATACAAGCATTTCTTTCTGTTTCGAAACCATGACATCCTCATTGCACGCAGTAAGGTTACCATTACATCTTCACAGGTAATTATAAAGACGTCAATGTCGTCACCACAACCAGATTTATCAACACGACGGTTTCACTTCCCATGCAAGGCTTTTGTTTACATCTAAGGATGTTTGTAAGACTGAACCAAATATGTTTTAAAGGAAATAGTCCTTGTAATGAAAAATTATTATAGTGGTTTTCGATCGGACAAGCTGAGTTTTCGATGCAACAGATCTCTGTGTTCAGTGCTCTTNTTCTCGGAACAGTTCTGAGCAGAGGTAAACTACAGTTGTGCCACGCTTACTGTAGTCTCCTCTGCAACTTTTGTTTGATCTTGTCACGCAGCCTGCTCTCTCCCCCGTGACGTGACGAGACCAAACAGCGGATGCGATTAAGATTTCTCTGGCTTGCGAGTAGGTTCGTATAGTAGGCATTTAAGTAATGTGCTCCAGGCTTTTATTATTGATGCTTCGAAACGTGAATTTAAAAGTTTTACCGCTTTAAGCAAACCAAAACCCCATTTTATCTTTAGGAGACCTTAACCGAAGATATTTTACGTCTCTGCTTTTTAAATAAGTAAAAATACATTGAACGAAGAGAGAAAAGAATCATATATTAAAGACTTTTATAAGAAAAAAAATTAACTCAAAAAGCGATAGGGAAGGTCTTCTTTATGGTAATTTTGGAGTCAGTTAAGACCAAATCAACTTGAAGTTTTAAGGAATTTTAAAAACTCGCCTGTATCATATGTGACGTGGAGGGCTTAAGTGTATTTGATCAATGCATGGAATTGCACATGATTGTGATCACTGATTACATTAAAACATTTTCTTGGTAGTTTCAGCAACAGAGGAAAGTCAAGTTACGTCATGTGACTCTAAACTGGGTGTATGTGATGACCTTTTGAGAGGTGAGAAAACGAGGAAAAATCAGAACTTTTTTAAAGATGCCCCAGTATAGTCTTTGACACATTTGTATCAAGTTTGATACTGTTCTCTGAATAACTTTGGAAACAGGAAAAACAGCTCTTTCGATTTCAAACTTTATCGCTATTAGAAAATAGAAAAAATCGCTCGACCCCGCGCAATCTGTTCAAAGTGTATAGTCGTATGCAAATACATGGATTGAATGTCGACACTAAAATTTATCAATAGCACTACAGATAAAAGGAAAACACAAACAAATACAAAAACCAAAAAAAGAAAATAAGGAAAAAATAAAGAAGCGTTTTACTTATCATTGATACATTTCAACATTTCAATAGAAAACAAATTATCCGACCCTGAACCCGGTTTGTTTTCAGGGATAGCAAAAGAATGTCTCGAGAAAGGAAACAAAGAATACAGACATGGAGAAATTAATGACGCAGTTAACTCCTACACTGAAGGACTTCAAGTCAACTGCAAAGATAAACGGTTAAACGCCANCTGCGCCAACCTCAAGTTCAACAAGGACTCCCATTGCCTCAAAAAATTGAACTGCTGTTGAGAGCTTGTAGAATTTTGGACACTCAAAAGGATAACTTTTAAGTATTTTTATTTTGATATCATGCTCAACCTATTTTTATACACATTATTTTTTCATGAGAAGTTCTGAAATTATCACGATTAGCTATATAAAAGGTAACATTTTTTTTATCTAACATAAATTAAGTAGTGATCTATTAAGATGATTTCAGGCGTAACATTTACGTCGAAGTTAAAACGTCTTGAAAACGTTTCTAGATGTTGTTTTTGTAAATGTTTTCCCAATCAGTTTTTTTCTCTTATGAGTGATAAGACTGTTACAGCCATTTGCATGTATAGAGAATTTCCATTCAACTTGGAGAATAATCAGTTGTCCCATTGCTCAATTATCTTACTTTATGTCAGATGGAAATTGCGGATAACGGCTCGAGGATTTTTATGTAGTCATTGCTTAAAACGGTATTTTAATTTCAGGGAAAATAATAGATTGTGACCTTCATGGCCATAAGTCAGTCTTGAGATTAATATTTTTTCTTTTATGTCTGAATGTGATGAATTGTGTTTTTTTCTTTTTTGTATAAGTATTTCGACGTATTTTTAGCATGCTTTTGAAACTAATTGTCCAAAGGTAAAACGAGATGTTTTTTTTTTAATTTTGCTATTGACCAGCTTCAAAATTGTGTATCCTACCAAGCATGGAAAAAAGCTCAGAGACTGCGAGGAAGTTGGAGCGAAATGATTTTATCTAGTCACTTCAATTGGATTGTTAACGAACTATATAAGTGCAATAAAGAAGCGTCTGAATGTCACAAAATG